CCAGATACAGAGCCCTCCCTTATCCTTATTCCAGCTCAGCAGGGGATCCATAGGGCATCCTAGTCAAAACAGGTGTTTAAGTTCTCAGACATCATAGCTGGTGCATTTCTAGTGGGTGTGAGACTCCCCAGAATTTGCACCTTTCATCCGAGGTAGGGCCCGATCCCTGGGACATGGGTGCCCAAAGCTGCTGAGCTGAGGGCTCCCGACCCCCCAGACCAGGGGGGAGTGTATTTTGAGGTGCATACCCCAGGGGTGTATCGTGATCTCTTTGGGACCCTTCAAGCCTTTGACCCCCTGGACCAGCAGATGCCGCTTGCACTCTCACTGCCTGCCAAGGTAGGATCCTCGGGAGGGCAGGGGTGGGGGTGGGGGGGCTTAAGGGACTGCAAGATACTGAAGGTCTGAACTATGAGCAGGAATCAAATCATTGATCAGGGACGGAAAAGGGACCTGGGAGAGGAGTGATGTGGAAGGCACAACTGGAAGTGATTAGCTGGGGAGGGCAGGTCAGCAGTGGGGAGACTCTGGAACTCAGAGTTCCTCCAAAGACGACTGAACATTCACTTTTCCTTTCTGCCTTACTTCATAGATCCTATTCTGTGCTCTTGGCTACAATCACCTTGGCCTGGTGGATGAATTTGGCCGAATCTTTATGCAGGGAAATAACAGATATGGGCAGCTTGGAACAGGGGACAAAATGGACAGAGGGGAACCCACACGGGTGAGACTGCTTCCCAGCTACTCATCCTGCCCCCACTTTCTCTAATTCCCTGACCCCTGGATCTCTCCACGCCTCTAATTTCCATAGAATCCACTTCTTAAAAAAATACTGTATTTTATTTATTCGGCTGTGCTGGGTCTTATTTGCAGCATGTGGGATCTTTTAATCGCAGCACATGGGATCTAGTTCCCTGACCAGGGATCAAACCCAGGGCCCCTACATTGGGAGCACGGAGTCTTGGGCACTGGACCACCAGGGAAGTCCCAGAATCCACTCTCTTACACCCAAAGCAAGAATCATACCCCTAGACCAACAAGCCACCATTCAGAATCCACTCTCTAATCCCTAGGAAGTTAAGCCAACCAGCTTGTAATGCTTGTGCTACTGTTGCGTGTCTCAACCAGGTTGGCACCATGAGGCGAATTTTGTGTGGCTTGTGCTGTTAGGGCAGTAGTTTAGTGACATGAGGAGACCTGGGTGGGCTGAAGTAACTCGAGGAGCTAAGATGTGAGCATCTCAGTGGGTTAGAGAGGATTTGGGTGGGTACCGGGCAAGGCATCCTGTGTAATGGGGGTGGGGACACAGCTTGCGCATCCCTGGAAAGGTGGAAAGACTGGCCTGACTAGAGTAGAGTGTTTTGGAATTCAGTAGCTACAAGGTGGTATTAAGGTGGTATTGTGTCAGTTGCTCAGTCGTGTCTGACTGTTTGCGACCCTATAAACTGTAGCCTGCCAGGCTCTTCTGTCCATGGAATTCTCCAGGCAAGAATATTGCAGTAAGTAGCCATTCGCTTCTCCAGGGGATCTTCCTGACTCGGATCAAACCTGGGTCTCCTGCATTGCAGGCAGATTCTTTACCGTCTGAGTCGAGAGGGAAGCCCTACAGGTGGCCACAAGCCTACAGAAGTGTTGCTTTGGGAAAGCGCAGTTTTGGGTTCTGGAGCAGGAGACCACCCCCCTGGATGATTGAGACTGGGTCACCTGGCCAGAGGGCATAGCAAGAGCCCCCCAGAGGCTGCTGAGGGACACTTGGACTTGAGACAAGGGGTTAGGGCTGGCACAGTGGAAGCAGGAACAGAGAGGAATGGAGATGTGAGGTGTTTTCAAAGAAAATGAACAGCCTCTGGAAAGTAATTACATATGAGGACAGCAGGGTAGGACATAGTTGGCCCTGGCAATAGACAGCATCACAAGTAAACACATCAGTTGGAGAAGAATGCTGGTTTTGAGGGAGAAAGTGAACTTAGCTTTTTTTTTTTTGCCATGAGAGTAAAACACTGAAATAGAAATGTATAGCTGGATTCCAAGTTGGAACAAAGTTGAAATGACAAAAGTAGAGATAAGGGGAGCAAAGCTGGGTGGTAGCCGCCATTGTTGGCAGAGGGACTGAAACTTCTCTCAGAGACACACCCTCAGATGCCACATCTCATGGGTACAGAAAGTTTCACCCAGGAGGCGGTGATTAAAGTGACAGTGATGATGTAGGAATATACTCCCTGAGGTGGAAAGATGGTTGTGTCTTTTTTTTGGCAGGGAGTGCTGGACACATTATGTGGACTTCTCAGGTGCCTCAGTGGTAAAGAATCCGTCTGCAGTGCAGTTTCCATACCTGGGTTGGGAAGATCCTCTGGAGGAGGAAATGGCAACCCACTCCACTATTCTTACCTGAAAAATCCCATGGACAGAGGAGCCTGGTGGGCTACAGTCCGTGGGGTCACAAAAGTGTTGGACACAGCAGAGCATGCACGCACAGCACAGGTTATGCAGGCTCTGACCTGACCAGGGATTAGACCCATGCCCCCTGTAGTGGAAGCACAGAATCTTAACCACTGGACTGCCAGGGAAGTCCCAGTTGTGCCATATGTGTGTGTGTGTATATATACACACATGGATATATATGGCATATATATATATATATATATATATATATATATATCTGCATCAGGTCTTAGTCGCAAATTGCAGGATCTTTTGGTCTTCATTGCAGCATGGACGAGATCTTTAGTTGCGGCATGTGGGATCTAGTTCCCTGACCAGGGATCCAACCCGGACCCCTGCATTGGGAGTGCGGAGTCTTAGCCACCGGACCACCAGGGAAGTTCCCATACTTTTAAGGTGGAAAAAAAATCAAGAAATGATTTACACAGCACAATCCCATTTTTGTTTAAAAATATACAGCTCGTATGTGTATATTTATAGAGGCAACACTGAGGAAGAATGCCCAGCAAGAGGTTAATAGAAGGTGGTGGGGCTTCTTCCAGTGATTTTTAAGTGAATTTTTGCTTGACAATATTTTATAATTTTTCCTATAAACTTTCCTATAATGGCCATAAATTATATATCTACGTCATCACAATTAAAGCACTCACAGTCTCAGGAGCAAGTGTGCAGAGAGGCCCTGGGATTTGCCTACTGGGAGGTCCAGTGCCTTAGGAGAGAAATCATAGCATCGTAGGGAGAGAAGTCAGATCACAGAAGGTTCAGGTGAGACTGGCTGTGGAAAGAACAAGAGGCCCACCTCAGACTGATTGTATAGCCAGTCTTGCTGCCTAAAAGACAGAGGTCAGAAGCAGCAGGAGTCGGGTGGAAGTGTTTTTCCAGAACAGCATGGCCATTTTGAAAGGTAATGCTATGACAGACTGAAAATGCTAGATGGAAGGAAGGAATCCGTGGAAGGCAGGTCCTTCCTGGAATGGCACAGAGACAGAGAGAGAGGCTCTTTTTTCCCCCTCAAGGCTGGAAGGCAGCATGAGAGACTGGACAGGCGCAGGCCTGGGCTGAGACTAGGATGCAGACAGCAGGCCCTGGCCTTGGGCAGGAAGCCTGTTTTCCAGGGAGCCGAGAGGAGGAAGCAACGGCTCTGCTAGCGCTTCTGTGCTCAGACTGGGGCTTCGCCAGGCAGCCTGCTGGGGGATGGAAGCGTGTTCTCGGGCCCATCTCCTCCCTCCCCTCACTTCCCTAGACTCTGCGCTGAGCCCTCTGTCACCCTTCTTCAAGCTGCACCCCTAGTCCCTCAGCGTCCCCCACTTAGGGGCCCCGTCCTGTGCCTTCAGGTACATTATCTGCAGCGCCCCATCGCCCTGTGGTGTGGCCTCAACCACTCCCTGGTGCTGAGCCAGGGCTCGGACTTCAGCAAGGAGCTGCTGGGCTGTGGCTGCGGGGCCGGGGGCCGCCTCCCCGGCTGGCCTAAGGGCAGCGCCTCCTTCGTCAAGCTCCACATCAAGGTCAGAGCCCAGGCTCCGGTGAGGGGGCAACTGGCAGGGCTGGAGCCATCGAGCCCGGGGGGCTAGAGCTGGGGCTCCCATCGGGACCCAGGGACCCCACTTCCCAGCACTGCCCACTTCCCTTTCCTGCCGTGCACCATGGCTCCTGGCTCTCCCCCTGAGCCGATCCTGCTGGTCCTTTCTGAGCTCACACAACCCTGGGGCTCAGTCCGCCAGCTCACTTGCTGGCTCCGGGCTGGTCTGAGCGGGTGGAACACAACAGCTGGGGCTCCCTGGGAACCCCATCCTGGGGCCCCGGCTCAGCCACGCCGTCTCCTCTCCTCCAGGTCCCTTTGTGCGCCTGCTCTCTCTGCTCCACCAGAGAGTGCCTCTACATGCTGTCCAGCCATGACATTGAGCACCACCCAGCCTACCGGGACCTACCAGCCAGCAAGGCGGTGGGGACCCCTGAGCCCAGCCTGGGGGCTGGAGCACCCCAGGACCCTGGTGGGGTGGCCTGGGCCTGTGAGGAGTACCTCAGCCAGATCCACAACTGCCCCACACTGCAGGACCGCATGGAGAAGATGAAGGAGATTGTGGGCTGGATGCCCTTGATGGCCGCACAGAAGGATTTCTTTTGGGAGGCGCTGGATATGCTGCAGAGGGCTGCTGGAGGGGCTGGCCAAGGCCCCCCACCCCCTGAAAGCTGACCCCCTCCTCTCCTAGTCTTACCCCCTGGAGGGAGAGTGTGGCCCTGGGTCAGGGGCTAAGGAGAGGTGGAGTGGTCGCAAGGAACATGGTGTGCACGCACGTGTGGGGAGGGGATGCAGGGGGGTGGGGCCTGCTAGACATGCCAGGTGGGCAGGGAATGGTTTTATAAGATGTTCATGGGGCTGCCCAGGAGGGGCCCCCAACCTGACTATCATGGATGAAAGATTTGCTTGACAAATAGAATAAAAGGCTGAATCAAGGCCTGGTTTGGAACCCTAGGGCCTGGGAGCAACCTGGGGGTCAGGGTGGGGGTGCGGTGCAGGGCAGAAGCAGCTCAGGCTGTCAGTTCCTGCATCCATCAGCTTCTTCTCCCCTCCAGCCCCTACTTGGTTCTGCCACTCGGATCCTCCATCCACCAGACTGAGCAAGTTGCTTCCTTCTGACTCCATCCCTGTGCGGCCAGCCACCCCCCCAACCACTCTCCTCCTCCTGTTTTCCTTCCAGATCTGAGCTCACGCGTTGTTCTTTCCCTTACTTCCTACTCCATCCTCCCCTTCCTCCATAGGGAAGACACTCCCTTTGCCCACGTACCATGCCTCCCGCCCCCCACCAACCCTGACCTCCAAGTATTTGGGAAAGAAGATGGGTAAGCCGCATTCTTTCTCTGTGGCCTGGTCTGGCCCCTTGGAGGGAGAAGACAGTAAACATTTGAAGTGGAAAATAAGCTGGAGCCAGGGGGTGGTCAGGAAGTGAGTGATTAGAGGTTGGGAGTCCAGAGAAGGGCTTCCTCTGGGTGCTGAGGAAGTGGGAATGGGGAGGTGCACAGGTGGTCTGGAGGGTCCGCAGGAAGGACCCCAGGCTGTGCTGGAAGGATGCTCAGGCTCTGGACAGAGCAGGGTTGCTGAAGACATTCCTGGACCGCCTGGATTATGCTGAGAGCCTGATGCTTGCTCTGGCCTTCATTGCTCCACCCCCGCCCCACTAGGTCGGTATTTGTGTGTCCTGGACCTAGAGAGGCCCCTGGACTTGCCACTGTCCCTGCTCTTCTCTCCCTGTCCCGCCTTCCCCGCCGCCCGCCCCACTGGCCAGTCCCCACGCCCACACGCCCGAGGCTGCCTCATCTGGCACTGATTATCTGTGCTGCTGCCGCCGCCGCCGCTGCTGCTGCACTCAGCCACTGCCTCTGTCTTGAAGACCCCAGCACTTCTCTCCACCCCCGCCCCCGGCCATGCTGCCTGCCGCCACAGCCTCCCTCTTGGGGCCCCTCCTCACTGCCTGGGCTCTGCTGCTGCCTTTCACCTATGGCCAGACCCCCAACTACACCAGGTAGGTCTCTTGGCACCTTCCAGATGGCTTGAGTGAGCTTCAAATCCCTAATTCCTGGGGGGGGGGGGGCAGGGGGTGTATGCCTGTAGATCTGGTGGCTTCTTTCACTAATACCCCGCTCCCCGCCACATCTCCCTACCCTTCTCTGGCCCCCAAGTCCTCCTTCCCTGCGGCCAGACTAGTGTTTCCTGTGGGCACCACCGCTCCCCATTCCTCCGCCCTCCGTCCTCTTCCCATCCATCTAGACCCTTGGCCCCCCTCCATGGAACCTGAGAGCACCAAGACCTTGAACTTGCCTGGTGGCTGGACGTCAGGATTCCAGGAGGGAACTGGAGATGGTGGGGGGAAGAGGGGAGTGCGAGGGGGCGACCTGGGAGTCAGACACTCAAGCTGTTAGCTGGAAGCGGAGCAGGGCAAAGGTTGGGGCCACAGGGCCCTGGCTGCAGCTTCTCCCTCTCCCCCCACCCCTTCCCACCCCCCACCCCCCGCGTGGCCTCTTGTCTGTGTCCACATCTGGAAGTAGTTAGGCGGCTCCTGTCCCCACTGCCAGGCAGGGTAAGGGGGGTGGAGAATGAGAGGAGGATTCCCGGAATTCCTGTTGGGGTGGGGGGTAGGGACTCCGAGGGGCTGGAGGGACAGCCAAGTGGCTGGCCCCACTTTCCCTGAGCCTCTGCTGGAGTGGGCTGGCTCAGGCCACCTCGGATCCCTTGGGCTTCCTCCCCCATCCCCCTGGCTCCCCGCCCATCCTCATCACCTCCTGGCCTCTCCAGCACTCCCCCACGCAGGGCTGACCTCTCTTCTGTTCCCCAGACCCGTGTTCCTGTGCGGAGGGGATGTGACTGGGGAGTCGGGTTACGTGGCAAGTGAGGGTTTCCCCAACCTCTACCCTCCCAATAAGGAGTGCATCTGGACAATAACGGTGAGAAGGCCCTTCTGGCCACTCTTCCCTCCTCCAAGTGTCCGAGGCCTGGGTTCAGGCAGCCAAAGGCCAGACTGCTAGGGGAATTTCCTCCCCGCCAAGTCCCACCATTTCTCCCTGGGGAAGGCCCAGCCCGCTCCCCTCTGGTCAGTGCCCACAATACCACGTGGCAAGTGACCTCACACCTTAATGCAGAGCCTGCTTGTCCATTCCCACCTTCATCCCCACCCCCTCTGGTCTCTCCACAGACCTCACTCGGGTCTTGGTGCAGTCATGCACCATCAGACTGGCCCTTTTAGGCCCAGTCTCTGTAGGAAACGCTTGGGGGAAAGAGAGGTGCCCTCTGCCTGGTGGTGTTTGGCCTGACTTTGCAGGACCCCGCCCCTGTCCCCACCGTCAGGTCCCTAAGAGCCAGACTGTGTCCCTCTCCTTCCGAGTCTTTGACCTGGAGCAGCACCCCAGCTGCCGGTACGATGCTCTGGAGATCTTTGCCGGGTCTGGAACCTCAGGCCAGCAGCTCGGACGCTTCTGCGGGACCTTCCGGCCCGCGCCCTTAGTCGCCTCCGGCAACCAGGTGACCCTGAGGATGAGATCGGACGAGGGCACGGGAGGACGAGGCTTCCTGCTCTGGTACAGCGGGCGGGCCACCTCCGGCACTGGTGAGACCTCCCTCACCTCCGCCGCCCCCTCTCCTGGCCCCGCCCCCGGCGCAGGCCCCACCCCAGCCTTAACCTCCACCCCAAGAGCCTGGGGCCCCCATGACCTCCCTTACCCTTCCTCCTCACTAACTGCCCCTTCAGTCCCTCCTCCCCGTCTTCTCTCCCCTCTCCCGCTCCCACCCACCCCCTCTTCCAGGGCCCCCCCCAGGCGCGAGGCGGAAATGGGTCACCGACCCGCGGGTGGAATGGGCGGCCTGGGGTTACTGGGACGGTGAGTAACGCCCGCCCCCGTCCGCAATCGGGCTCCCTCTGACGGGCGCGGGGGGCACCCCCGGGCTGGGGGACTAGGTTCCCCCTGACCCGGAGCCCCCTACACCCAGCCCGGGGGCTCCCGATTGCGGTCCCATCACCCCCTCCTGGCGGCAGAAGTCTCCTTAAAATCTTTAAGGCGGGACCTCCCCTGAGGAACCTCGGGGCTGTGCCCCAATTTGAGGGCACCCTCACCGTATGGGGACTCTTCCAGCCGTGATGGGGACTTTTCTGCCGGGCCGGGGAGATGGGATCTCCCAGGGGAAGAGGAGCGATATGGCCTCGGGTCAGGGGGAGGGGCAAGAAGGGAGCGGATCCAGTCAGTTGCTTCCCCTCTTCCACCGCCCGCCTGGGCGCCCGGCGGTCCTAGACTTAGCCCTCGCGGTCCCAAACCTCCCCGAGCCCCGCTCGGCCGAGCCCCATCTCTGCTAACCTTCCCCCCTTCTTTCCTCTCCCTCCTCTCGCCCCCTCCTCCTGAGACCCAGACATCTGAGCTTTCAGCACGGTCTCCTCCAGCTGACCGAGGGTCTCCACCGCCCCCCACCCCCACTCCTCTCTCCCCTCACCAGAGCACCAATTTTGCGGGGGGCGGCTGGAGAAGGCCCAGGGAACCCTGACCACGCCCAACTGGCCCGAGTCCGATTACCCCCCTGGCATCAGCTGTTCCTGGCACATCATCGCGCCCCCGGACCAGGTACTGACCCCCTGCCCCGGTTGCCCTCGGGGACCCGGGCGGCGCCCTCCAGCATGCAGACTGCAAAGATTTACTGAACATCGACAATGTCCCCAGCACTGAGCTGGCCATGGTGGGGAGCACAAACAGACCCAGACCTGCTCGCACCCAAACAAAAAATGTAAAATCACAACTGTGAGGAGCCTTACGAGAGCGAGGTACCCGATGCCGATATATAAACGGATTTTTGCGTGTGTGTGTGTATGTGGTGGTGACGCTGGAGGTAGAGTCTGGGTCTTTTCCTTGAGAATGAGCCAGGGTTTGGCCTTGCGGACTGCGGCGACGGAGGGTTCCCGGTGAATGTGTGTGTTCCTCCGAGCCGCGGTGTGAATGCATTAAGAGGTGGGCTCCAGGGCCCGCGGGCGATGAGACAGGAGGCCCCGGCGAGTGTCCCGGAGGCGGCGGCGGGGTGGAGGAGGTGAGAACTCCGCACCCTCCCGCCACCCGGAGTTCCCCTGCGCAGCCTCCGCCTCTGCCCCGCCGCCAGGTGATCTCACTGACCTTCGGCAAGTTTGACCTGGAGCCCGACTCCTACTGCCGCTACGACTCGGTCAGCGTGTTCAACGGACCCGTGAGCGACGACGCCAAGCGGCTGGGGAAGTTCTGTGGCGACACAGTCCCGGGGTGAGGGGGCGCCACCTGGGTGGGCGACAGCGTCGGGGCGTCTCTGCAGCCCCAGGTGCGCGAGCCCGGGGTTCCCGGCGGCTGGCGGGAGGGGCGGGGCTTAGCTGAAGCCGCGGGCGGCCTACGTGTCGGCCCCAAACGGGGTGGGCGGGGCAGGTAGCGGCCCTGGCCGAGGCTTGGCGCCAGGCCTGCGGTCTGCGGATCACGAGGCCAGTGGAGCTTGCGAAATCGAGAAGCTGATGCAGCCAGCTGAGGGGCAGAGGTCAAAAGGCCGCTGGCCTGGGCAGGGAGCAGGATGCGCTGCCCACCTGACGCCTCCCCTGATACCCCGCCGCCCGCAGTTCCATCACCTCCGAAGGGAACGAGCTCCTCGTCCAGTTCGTCTCGGACCTCAGCGTCACGGCCGACGGCTTCTCGGCCACCTACAGGACCCAGCCTCGGGGCGCCACCGAAGGAGGCCCAGGGGAGGTCGGCCCGGGCCCCAAGCCCGGAGCCGGGCCCAAAGTCAAGCCCGAAGTCCCACCTGAAGAGAAACCCAAAGCCGCGCCGAAGGCAGAAGCAACTCCGGTGGGCCCGGGTGAGTCTGGAAAGGGAGAGGAAGCGACGCAGGCCTCAGGGAGCTGTATCAGACAGAGTTCCTTCCTGCGCCCATTCATTCATACAGCACCTACAAGTGCTGCCTCTGTGCTAAGGCCGGGCACTGGGTGCTGGGACCCAAAGCTGGATAGAGCTCTGAACAAGTTCAAAGCAATGAGGCTTTTGTGGGGAAAGTGGTCCTTCCTCCCTGCTGGGTAGGTTGCCCTCCACTAAGGGTGCGCCCTCCCCCACCAGATGCACCCAGTGTCACCTGCCCAAAGCAGTGCCGGAGGACAGGCACCTTGCAGAGCCACTTCTGTAACAGCGACCTGGGTAAGAAGCCCATCCCCAAGATCTACCCTTCCGGCTCCTATAACCTCCCCTCTTGTCTCCAAAGCTCTCCCCAAACTTCTGGTTCCAGCCCTGCCCTGGCCTCCTGTCTCACCTCTCCCGGCTCTCTCCTACAGTGGTGACAGGAATGATTAAGTCCATGGTGCGGGGCCCAGGGGAGGGCCTCACAGCAACTGTCAATATCACTGGTGTTTACAAAACCGGAGGCCTGGACCTGCCCTCTCCACCCACTGACACCCTCCTGAAGTTTTATGTGCCATGCAAGCAGTGCCCCCCCATGAAGAAAGGTAATGGAGATGTGGGGAAACGTAGAGGGAGACTGAGCCTCATGAAAACGATGGAGGTGGCAGAACCCGAGGGACTGGGATGAGGCCGTATTTCTATAAAGCTCTGTTACACAAATCCTCAATCCCTCCCTCCCCTTCCCTAGGAATCAGTTACTTGCTGATGGGCCAGGTGGACAAGAACAGAGGTCCCATCCTTCCTCCAGAGAGCTTCGTGGTTCTCCACCGGCCTACCCAGCACCAGATCCTCATCAACCTCGGCAGGAAGTGCCCCTCCAAGCCTGTTTAGCCTGCTGGGTCGCAGGCCAACCTCCCCACCCTGGACCTAGGGACCCCTTTCTTATTCAAATAAATGTTTCTTGATTGAGGAAGGGGTCACATTTCCATTTCCACGGTTTCGGTGCTCCTCTTGGGGGATTTGTTTTCATTCCTTCTTTCAACTCAAGGGTTACTACACAGAAGAATGTAAGTTGAATCTTGTCACCCCTTTGCTCAAAATTCTCCCAAATTCTCCACACACACACAAAATGGCAACTATTAATATGCAGAGGTGATGGATATGTAAATTAGCTTGACTGTGGCAATCTTTTCACAATGTATACATATATCGAAATGTCCAGTTGTACATCTTAAATATATACAATTTTTATATGTCAAAGATATCTCAATAAAGCTGTTTTTAAAAAACAAATTAAGGGAATTCCCTGGCGGTCCAGTGGTTAAGACTGCACTTTTACTGCCGAGGGCCCAAGTTCAATCCCTAGTCAGGGAATTAAGATCCTGTAAGCCATGTGGCACAGTCAAAAATAAGAAATTAAAATAACTCTCCCATAGTTTCCCATTAGTCTCAGCATAGAATCTGAAGTCCTACTATGGGCTCTGAGGCTCCAGGTGATCTGTGTCCTCTCTCTCACCTCATCTCATCTCTATTATCTCCCTTTCAGCCTCTTCCATCACACTGGCTCGTTGGCCATTTTTAGTAAACATTTGCTTCCAGGCTTTACTCTTGCTGTTCCCTCGATCTGGAATTCTCCTCCACAGACATTTCCTGGTCCACTTCCTAACTTCAATCAGATCTCAGCTCAGAAGTTCATCATAGTCACTCACTCATTTGCTCATTCCAAATGTCAGGCACTGTTTCAGGTGCCAAAAATACAAGAAAACAAAGTCCCAGCTCTTGTGAAGAGGAGAGCACATTCTACCTGAACAGAGATAAACTAACGAGGTCAAGTAGCTATAAGAGTGCTATGAATGAAGAACACAAAAGCATGATAAGAGGACAGGCAAAGGGAGATTCTCTTTTTGATACGGTGCAGAGAAGACTTTCAGGTAATATTAACTTTGTTTTGCTCCACTGCTAACCAAGTGTGTGGCCTGGGGCCTTCACCTTGTGGAGGCTGTTTCCTCGTCTGAGAGTGGAGTTGACTCTCATCCCATTTCGTGGGATGATGTGAGCAGCAGGACTGAACCATAATTCCCTCTGCAAATATGAGTGATTTCAAAGATGAGCTCCGTGCAGGAAGGAATCAAGAGAAGTGCTGTGGGCAGAGATCCGAGTCCAAGGGGAAGCAACATTCAACTAGTACTGTAGAAAACGGCTTTTGTTGCTGCGGAAGCTCCTAGAAGAGCCTGGGATTGAAGAGGGGAAAAAAAGAGGGCTCCCTCGTGGGATGTGATGCTAGTGATTTGGACAGCCTCAAAAGTGGGGAGGAAGGAACAAAGCCCGACTCCCATCTTGGCCCGGGTCCCTCCCGCTAGCCCTCCGCTCCACTTATTCCAGGGTTAGCGTTCTGGCTCGAGACGCTCGTCAGGTGCTACGTCACTGGGATCAAGCCAATCACCGCTTTAGGCGCACCAATCGGCGAATAGTCACAGCTGAGTCGAGGCCGCCCTGGCCAATGATAGAGACCGTACGGCGGAAGTGCAGAAGCGGTCTCCCGGAAAGATGGCAGCCCTGGTCCGGCCACAGGTTGATTGGCAGGTGCTGTGACCAGAGGTGAGCTTCAGAGCACGAGCGACCGTTCGGAGGCGGAAGCCCGACGAAGCGCGGCCCCGAGGTCAGGAAGTGATAGGAGGCCCAGATACAGGAGAGCAAGAGGCGGAAAGAGCAGCTCCGGAAGAGGCCGCGGCGACCGGCGGAAACGGGCCTCGGAGGCAGGGGGCGGGTGCCCCGGGACGCCCGGAAGGGGCGGGGCTTATGGAAATTAGGAACTAAGACGGAAGACTAGGGCTGGGGCTGTGAGCCGCGAGGGGCCGGGTTTCCCGGGTGGGCGTGACCCTCGAGGTAGGGCTTGGGGGCGGGGCTTAAGGGGACCCAGGGCGCTGCTGGGGGAGAAGAAGGGTTTGGGAGACCTGGGCCTGGTCTGCTGGGGGGCCTTATCTAGCGGGGTTCTGAGGCGGCGGCGCGGAATCAGCCCACGCCCTGCCTTACGATCTCATCCCGTTCCCTTCGCCCCTCTCACCCCTCAGCTTTATACTCCAGGCCCCGTCCCTTGAGCTCTGCCCTCGGATGTTCCACCGCCCAGAGCTTGCATGCGCCGTGGGGCGCCCCAGGACCAGGAGCTGGTGGGTCCGGGGGCTCCTGGGCGGGGGTCCCGGGGCGCCCCTCCTCCCTCGGGATCTGTTGTCCCGGTCCTGGTCTTTCCCCCGGATCTAGTATTCAGGGCGGACCAACGGAGCGGACCCCGGCAGCTACTGACCCTCTATAACCCCACGGGAGCAGTGCTTCGCTTCCGAGGTGAAGGGGATGGGCGCCTCGTGCTCGGGATGTGGGGACTAGCGGCAATATGCTGGGGAGCTGGGTGGGCTGGAGGAGTCAGATGAGTACAGTTGACTGTCCGGCCTTGGCAGAATGGAAGGGTCAAGTCCAGTCCGAGGGTAGAAGGCTGGGGGGACTCCATGGGCGGGGTTTGTGCAGGATTCTCTGAGGCAGTAGTCGATCGATCTTTCTGTGCCTTTTCCCCCAGTGCTGTGCACAGCCCCTGCCAAATACACAGTGTTTGACGCGGAAGGATATGTGAAGCCTCAGTCCTGCATTGACATGTGAGTTGAGCGGATGGGGAGGCTGAAGAAAGCCAGTGGTCGCTGCCAGCTTTCTCTGATTTACCCTTCTGTGACTTAGGTCTCAGAGCTGCTGCTCTTCAGCCTTTTTTCCCCACCCTCTGTCTGCATCCTTAAGAGGGAGTTTCCTGGGAGGATGGGGCCTGGATTCACTTGAATCACTGCCCCTCAATGGGCCTCTCTCCTTTCTCCGGACCAGTGTGATTCGCCACGTGGCCCCCAATCCCAGGCACTATAATGTCCAGGATCGCTTCCGCATTGAGCTCTCTGAGGAGGGAACAGAGGGCCGAGTGGTGGGGCGCAAGGACATCACCTCTGTTCTAAGGGCCCCAGCGTACCCCCTTGAGCTTCAGGGACAGTCTGACCCAACGCCCCACCCAGAGCCTCATTCCTGGACAGCACCATCCGCGGCCCAGCCCTTCCCAGAGAGTGAGTTTGGGGATGGGAATTCTTGAATTCAGTAGGGGGAGGGGACCTAGCATGACCTTAGAGGTGAGTTCATTTGGAGTAGAAGAGGTTTTTTGTTGTTGTCGGTGTTCTGGGTTTTTGTGGGTGTTTTGGTGCCCCTTCTGGGCTTGAAGAATCTTAATTCCCGAACAGGGATCAAACACAGGGTCCTGGAAGTGAGAGCGCAGAGTCCTAACAGTGGACCGCCTGGGAATTCCCTTCCAGTTCAGCCTTTTGCTTTTTGACAGAAACATTTCTAGGAGTTAAGATTTTATATCAGGTTAGGGAAAAAGCAGACTTCGCAGTTTCCTTGGTTTCTGGCCTCCACCTAGAGAGAAAAACTCTTCGTTTACCTCTAACTCCAGTACTTCCCATCCTGTGTCAGCTCAGTTCAGTTCAATAAGAAACGGGTTGAGCAATTATGTACCACATTGTGTTTTATGGGAGACAGAGGTCCCTGCCTGACACACAGGTACACGGGAGCCAGTAATCAAGGCAGAGTTGAAGAGCGAAAAACGATGAGGGACCAGAGGGAAGAGGGTTTCTTGCGCAGTGGGGACAGGGGCTCCAGGGAGAAGAGGACACTTCCAGTGTCCAACAAAAAGTGGGTACACCTTCCACCTTCAGCCTCCTCCCTGGACTGAACAGGAGTGGAGGCTGGAGCTCCTGACGGGCCTTGTTCCCCAGACCCTCACCCGCAACTGGCCACCAGCTCCTTCCTCCTCTTCTTGCTGATGGGCACAATCTCTGTGGCCTTCCTGCTGCTCCCGCTCCAGGATGAACTTGGCAGCCAGCTGCCCCAAATGTTTCACGTCTCCCTGGGACAAAAGTTGGTGGCAGCCTACGTCTTAGGTGAGCCCAGTGGATCCAGGCCCAGCGAGAGGAGAATGGGGGCTGGAAAGAGGGTATACAGAGCCGGCAAGCTCCACACACGACCTTGCTCTTTTCTTTCTCCCCTCTCCAGGGCTCCTCACCATGGTGTTCCTCCGGACCTGAGCTCTGCTCCACCTCCACGCCGCTTCCCTGGGCCAGGACATGGACGTGGATGTGGACGTGAGACAGCCACTGTGATGTTCATAACCTTGTCTCAACTCCTGCTTCCTTCTTCCTGCCCATCTCCCTCCAGACCTAGGGATTTGTTATCTTTTTCCAAGTTGAATCAAATAAATTTGTAAAACTGAACTGAGAAATAGGTAAGAAACACGCCCCTTTCTTCCCATGTCATTTCTCCAGTTCCTCCTACTCCCACCTAGAGGCCCATTGAGGAGTTAGAAGACCTAGGTCGAGTGGTGCTGCGCCAAAAAAACCATGTGATCATGAGCAAGTCATTTAATTTTTCGGAGTTTCAGTTTATGCCTCTAAAATGAGGAAATTGAGATAGTTGATTCTTAAGATTCCTTTTAATGCTGTCTTAAGGAGAGGATCATGTTACTAAGCCAGCATGTTGTTCATTCACTGTTGTGTCTGACTCTTTGCAACCCCATGGATGTCAGCATACCAGGCTTCCCTGTCCTTCACCATCTCCCAAAGTTTGCTCAAACTTATGTCTGTTCTGTTGATGATGCCATCCAGCCATCTCATCCTCTGTCACCCCCTTCCCCTCCTGCCCTCAATCTTTCCCAGCATCAGGGACTTTTCCAATGCCAAAGCTGAAAAGAAACAAACACAAATACCACCTATTCCCACCTGCTGTAGAACTCAGGTCCCACCATCTTAAGCCATCAGAGCTCTTGCCAGGGTTGCCAGGAGGCTTCCCTTCCCCAGAATCCTCTTCTGTCTTTTTGTCTGTTACTCTGCTTTTATTTTGTCTCTTCTTTGACCTCAGCCCCTGCAGCTAAGAAACACCAAGGTCCCTGGCAAGATGGGGGGAAGTGGCACTGCCTGACATAAACTTCAGCCTAACCAGGCGGGAAAAGTGAAGGCAATGGAAAAAAAAGCTGCTTGAAAGGCAGGCTTCCAGCCCTCCTTCAGATGCAAAGCAAGAGGGGAGGGGGGAAGAAGGACAGCTGTTTTTTGGGAACAAAAATCAGCAAGATAACATGCAGACAGACTCGGTCTGCTATGCTGCTGGAAGGTTATCAGTTGCTCCAGCTTTGCTATGGGGGCCTTGGGAGCTACCCCACTGCCCTGGGAGGGCCTTGTCCTTCCCACACACAGAGCAGGGTTCAGTGACATGTGAGTCTGATTCTGTGCAGAGGGTGGGAGCCTGTGTCCAGGATGTGAGCAGGGCTCTCCCCACAGCCCAGCAAACCCCTCACCAAACCACTCACACTGGCCTGGCTGTGCCCAGGACCCCCAAAAGGCATTTGAGGTATCACACTTGAATGATCTTGGTGGTATCTGCTGAGAAAAGGCCTTGCTGCCTGTGAGATCCGGTGGGAGGGGCTTGGAACACATATTTTTTAAAAGCAGATTACTTAGAAAACAATGCTGAGTTGGCAGCAATTGAAGTGGGTGGGTATTAGTTTCCAGTGTCTGTTGTAACAGTTTATCACAAGCTAGTGGCTTAAAACAACACAAATTAATTCTCTTATGGTTCTGGGGGTGTGAACTCCAAGATGAATCTTCTGGGGATAAAATCAAGATGTCCCCAGAGGTGGTTCCTTCTAGAGGCAGCTGAGAGGATGTTTCCTTGGCCTTTCTAGCTTATAGAGGCCATGTGTATTCCTTGGATGGTGACCCCTTCCTCCATCTTTAAAGCCAAGAGACAAAATTCTAACAAATGATCATTGTTATAAGTCACTTTAAAAAAGAAGCCAGGAGTATAGCATCTCCAAGTCTCTGACTCTGACCCTCTGCTTCTGTTGTCACATTTCCTTTATCTCTGATCCTCCTGCCTCCTTTAATAAGAACCCTAGTGATGGGCTTCCCCGGTGGCTCAGTGGTAAAGAATCCACCTGCCAACGCAGGAGACACCGGTTCAATCCCTGGTCCAGGAAGACCCCACATGCTGCGGAGCAACTGAGCCAGTGCACCACAACTACTGAAGCCCTTGCACCTCGAGCCGGAGCCTTTCAAGAGAAGCCACTACAACGAGAAGTCCGGGCACCGCAACTAGAGAGTAGTCCCCACTCACCATAACTAGGCGAAAGCACTCACAGCAATGAAGACCCAACATAGCCAAAAAAATAAATAAAATTTAAAAAGAAGCAGCTTTGTGATTAAGTCCCCAGTCCCACCTCTAGCATATCACTCTAGACTTGGTGGGTTAAAAACCAGCAATTAGTTTTTTTCATAGTTCTGGAGGCTGGCATCAAGGTGTCGGCAGGTTTGGTTTTTCCTGATGCTTCTCTCCTTGGCGTGCAGATGTCCCCCTCCTTCCTGGGTCCTCACATGGCCTTTCCCCTCTGCACACACGCATCTCAGGTCTCTCCTTGCATCTGGTTTCCTCTTCTTTCAAGGACATCAGTCAGATTGGATTAGGCCCATTCTGATGACCTCGTTTTAACTTAATCACTTCTTTCAAGGCCCTCAAAAACATTCTGAGGCACTAGATTAGGGTTTCAACATATGAATTTGCACTCTCCATCTCAAAATCCTCACTTAATCACACCTGCAAAGTCCTTTTTGTCATGTAAGGTGATGTTCATTTACAGATTCCGAGCATTAGGATGTGGACCTTTTCATCCGGGCCTTTATTCTGTATACCAACAGGAGCAAATGGACAAGGCAGAGAGGGCTGAGAGACAACTTTGGGAAATTTGTTCTGGAGAGTATGTCAGGGAAGCAAGGAATCAAGGAGGCTTCTGACCCCTGGTCTAGGCTCCTGAGAGTCCACAAAGTCAGACTCAGGGGCTAAGGAGGGCGCAGTTTCATCCCAGAACCCAGGGGCATCCTGAGTCATAAATGAAGAAGCCTTTACTTCCCAGCCTGTGAGAAGCAGCCTAGGACCTCTCACACCATCCCAGGAACAAGAGAGGACGAGGAGCCTGAGATACAGGCCTAGGATTTACGTAGCTGCCGGGAAATGAGAACGAGGCCCACAGCCTCCTGAGCCCATGATTAAAGCTAAAATGGTGCCGGCAGCACCGGGAATTTCCTGCCCTTCTGCAGCTTCCACCTCACTGTTCAACAGGGGACCCTGGAGCGGAGAGAGGCCCCAGGCTGGGCCACTCTAGGCTGTGTAGCCATGGCAGTCTCCCAAGGCTGGGCGCCAAAGGGGCCACCGTGCTGGGGAGTTAGTGCTCTGCGGTCTCTATCTTGACATTTTTAATGATTGCATCTCTGAACTTAAGTTTTGGAAGTGCAGTCCGATGAGGCAATGGAGCCTATGCTGGGGGTCCTGCCACCCCCGATGGATTCTCACCTGTCCCCACCCAATCACAGTTGTCACCCTCCACTCCCAGCAGGGACTGGGTGCCAGCACAGGTCTGGGTTTGGCTCTGGTTAGGGCACGTGGGCTGTCTGTAGCAAGTTGTGGGGCAGAACTCTGTGTGCCTGTGGGGATCTGCCCAGAGTATTTTCTTGTCTGAGTGATCTGGACATTAAATAACAAATGAAGAACCACAATGACAGAGTGAGAGGCTGTGGAAGGAAGAAAAAAGCTTTGCTTTTGATTTTCAAACAAGAATCTCCACACTTTTTTTTTTCACACTTTCATTTTGTACCAGCCCTTGTAAATTATGTAACCATCCCTGGTTTCAGGATAAGGTACAGGGCCAGTCAGTCTCCTAACTGGTGGTGGTCTTGGGTTCAGTTCAGTTCATTTCAGTCGCTCCGTCGTGTCCGACTCTTTGTGACCCCATGAACCACAGCACACCAGGCCTCCCTGTCCATCACCAACTCCCGGAGTTTACCCAAACTCATGTCCATTGAGTTGGTGATGCCATCCAACCATCTCATCCTCTGATCTGCTTTTTAATATGCTGTCTAGGTTGGTCATAACTTTCCTTCCAAGGAGTAAGTGTCTTTTGATTTCATGGCTGCAATCACCATCTGCAGTGATTCTGGAGCCCCCCAAAATTAAGTCAGCCACTGTTTCCCCATCTATTTGCCATGCAGTGATGGGACCAGAGACCCTCCTATGTCCTCAGGAAGCTTCTTTAGTTCCTTAGAAGGAGCTCTTTCCCCCGTGTAGACAGCATTCCAAGGTGCATCCTCTTTGGGTCCTTCTGCCCAACCCTTCCCTAGGTCTCCAGGGTGAGGTGAGAGTGAGTAAGCCACATAAAAGTGCTGTAAGCAACAGAGGCCACAGGTGGTTTATTAAGGTTCAAACCCCAGCCCCTCCCACTACAGGCCACATGTTGACCATAAGGTTATGGCCCCAGCAGCCTTTCCCAAGGATGGCCAGGTCCCAGGGCTTAGGAAACCTTCCATAGTGGTCTCTAGCTGTTAGGGGGACCGCGGCTACTGAAGAGGAAGGGGCTGTGATTGAGGGGGCAGATGCTGCTCTCTGACTGGCTGACAGTATGACCATCCCATTATGGAAGGCACTGCTCACCTACTACCACCCTGGGTCTGGGATGCAGGGTTGTCTGCGCCGGCGTCATCGCTGGGCCCCTGAGAGTTACGGTAAGGACTAATAAATTAGTCAGCAATGGGAGGTGGTGCACAGGCATCTCTGTCACCCAGAAAGCGCTCAAGAGAGACCAACAGCTCTCGCCAGGGGATTAGGGGCATGTTCCCAACCCCCGCCCATGACCCCGCCATGGGCCTCAAAAGTTGTTATCGATGTTCCAGACGTCCCCGCTCAGCGCGTTGGCTGCCCCCTGCAGCGTCCAGGTAAGCAGGGCCAGTTGGCGCCGGAAGCGGCTCTCCTGGAAGCCCAGGCCCCTTGCCACCTGGGAGGAGGTGGCCCCGGGGCCGCCGGCGCGCAGTAGCCGCACGTGGTCCAGAAGCGCGCGGAGCGTGTGGTCTCCGCGACCCAGGAAGATGTGACGGAACGGGGACTCGGCCGGCGACACGTACTGGGACAGGAAGTAGAACTCCACCTGCGCCGAGAAGGGGACCAGGTGGAAGTCCGAACCGCAGTTCCACACCCACCTTGGGACCTCATGCACGCTGAGTCAATACAGTTGAGCAGCCTCTTTAAGGCCCACCTTCTTTTGGCTACCCAATCAGGAAAGGCCGGAATGTGACGTCACCAGTAGTCAGGTAGGATGCGCTCTCCCACCGAGTTTCGGACTGGATCCCTTTCTTTCTCCCTTGAGCCTCCAACCCTGCATCTAGGACTCCCAGTCTTCCTTCCTCT